TAATATAATGTTTCCTTAATGTGTAAGTAGAATAACTTAGTCATTATCAAAGTGTGGATGATCGCTGATAAAGCTTCTGAATTCCTTATTCCCTGGAAAAGCAACTAACCAAAAAGCACTACTTATTAAATTCATTGTTCAAGAATCAAATAAAAATTTTCAACAGCATAACTCATTGTATTTGCCTCCCATCCCATCAAAAGATAAAGCTAATAAAGATTCAAGAAGCCAAGCATATATATGAAGCACGAAACACACACAGAGCAACTGAATAAGAAAAAAATACTCAAAATGTATAGATTCAGCAACACGGTTATAGGGCTTCTGAACCTTTTCACCCTCTTGGCCTCGATACCGATAATTGGCGCAGGATTATGGATGGCAAGGAGCAGCACCACCTGTGAAAGTTTCCTCCAAACACCACTTTTAGTTGTGGGCTTCATAATTCTTATAATATCACTTACTGGTTTCATTGGGGCTTGTTTTCATGTTGCCTGGGCACTTTGGGTGTACTTGTTGGTCATGATATTTCTTATAGGGGCTTTAATGTCTTTGACTATTTTTGGATTCGTCGTTACAACCCAAGGTGGGGGAGTGGAAGTGCCGGGTAGGATGTACAAGGAGTATCGTCTTGATAGCTACTCTCCATGGTTGAGGAAAAGGATTGAGGACCCTCATTATTGGATGACTGTTAAAACTTGTATTTTGGGTTCAAAGACTTGTGCCAAGGTTGTTTTTTGGACACCTGTTGATTATTTGACAAAAGACATGTCTCCTATTCAGGTACTTTATATTTGTTTCTCCTCTAAATTAAACCTAGCAACTACGAAGGCTAGCTTGTTTGATGGTTTGAGAAAACTATTCTTGGAATCAGATTAAGCAGATTGAATTGCACTTCTGAACTCAGTGGAGTCAGATACTTTATCTTTACTTGCATTCCATCTTAAAAGTTCTTTCTTGCTAAGAGAGCTAGTCAAATTCTTTTTATTTTGATTATAGGTTCAATAATTCTGTTCGATGTGGGATTCTACCCTTAACATAAAGAGCTAACTTAAAAAATTTAATGCAATAATGTCGACGTAAATAATAAGTTGTTCATATACTTTCTTGTGCATATTATTGTAAAGTCAATTTAGGTTTTTCTTCTATCTTTGGAAAAAATTATTGTTGTTCTTCTCTTTAAGATTTCTCTTCAATCTCGGAGTTTTCTTTTTAAAGATTTCTCTTTAACTTTTTTTCAGAGATCTCTTTTTCATTTAAGATTTATGTTTTTCTTTAAGAAGTACAAGGATCAACTTATTCCTATATTCCTTTTGTAAACATGTGTTTCAGCCCTCAAATTTTAAATTTCTTTAATTATTCTACTCAATAACAGAAGTAATTTAACTTCAAATTGGTCTCTTTATTTACTTTCTGCACGATTCTTATCATAACTTAGGAAAAGCCACAAAAAATTAAAAAAAAAAAATAAATTGAAGTTCTTATGCTTGCTTAAAAAAAATTTGTTTATAAAGTGAAGCTAATGCATGTTTAATTTAGACTAAAAGTTACTTTTAGAAAAAGCACATCATTTTACTTTATAGAAACTTAAATTTTTTTAGTAAATGTATGATATTATTATATGGTGCCACAACTTCCAGTCAGGTTGCTGCAAACCGCCGAGTTCGTGCAATTACATGGGCACGACACTGGTGCAGAACCCTGACTGCTATCTGTGGAGAAACGACCCAAACGGGCTGTGCTACGACTGCGACTCGTGCAAAGCCGGAGTGCTGGAAGAGGTAAGAAGGGATTGGCACAAACTTTCAGCCCTCAACGTTGTTATGCTTGTCTTCTTAATTGGCATATATTCCATTGGATGCTGTGCCTTTCGGAACACAAAGAGGGCCGAAACGGGCTACCCCTATGGCAAAAATCGGATCATCAAAGTCCACCCCAGATGGGATTTTCACTGGTGAGTTATATATATCTATATCTCGTCTTTAGATGAATATTTGATACGTTGGATTGGAGATTTAAATACGATTAAAGAAAAACAGCTTATAAATTATTTGTCAAATTTATTCGAATGCTACTCACTTTTGTTATGTGGTTGTTTTTATAGGTGGAGAAGGTGGCATGACTGGAGACACCAGATTTATTAGCATAGAAATGTTCCTTCTTTCAAGTGTTTTGGGATGTAAACTATGGAACAAATAATGGAATCCTCTTTTTATGCATATGGATGTTTTTCTATCTTTACCGTTGATGATAAAACTCGAATCAACAAATCCTCTTACCTAACTATGATTTTCTTCTTCTAAACTCATTAATTTTGATGCTCAAACTTAAAGTAAGAGGAGAAATAATTATTTGAGACGAAAATATTTGAAATGTATGCCTTTCTTCTCTTAAGTAATGGTTATATATAGATTTTTCTCGAAGGATTTAACATAATCTCATTTTTCTCGAGAGAGGTGATAGTTGGTACCTTTTTTATTGGCCAACTCATAACTAATTTTGTTGTCATTAATTGTTAATGTCTATGTCATATATATATATATATATATATATATATATATTAGCCTTAAAGTCACGCGTTAAGCATTTTTCTTATGTTCTAATAGTAGTTCTCTACAAGCTGGACGGGGATATGTTCGTCTTACCTGGTGCTAGCTTTCTGAAACTCCTTTGCATACGGCCTTCACTTTGCCAGTATTGGGCGAGGTTCTCGGAATGTATTTCAACAAATAGTCTCTAAAGTCTGATTTTATAATTTATACGTATACATATGTACATATATACACACACACACACACACACAATTACAAAATATGTATTTTGAAATTTGGTTTATTGCAGATTCTAGCTAGGGCATCTTCTCTCTCAGAATCCTTTTTTAAGTGCTAACACCGATTCTTCACTTTTGTCTCTGATTTCACTATATTTTCCTAATGAATTATCTTTAGGTGTTATGCTAATGTTTTATTTAAATCAAGGAAGATTTTGGAATTATTCTAATCTTCAATTTGCCATGCCACAATAGCATATTTCAGCATATATAATCCAGAAGCCGATTCAGAAACGACAAGTTTTCCATTTTTTGTACATTTCACAAATATGCATCTGTGAGAGGTCCCTATGTAAGGCATAGTTCCAAATATTTTAATGAACGATCCATTTCCTTCCCAACGAATGTTTGGTCAACTTCTAGATGCTGCTTTAGGTAAATGGATCATTCATAGGAACAACGGATGTGCAAGGCAGTCTACTTCACAGAATATGCCTTTTGCTACATAATAAATTTTTGTTCGCGGATCGTGCATTTTGACTATGTAATACATTTTGTTCGCACAATCAAGGTGATAATTTCACTTTATTGATAATATTTTCTTAAATACATGCTATTCTAGGAATGTTTAATGGGTTTGTCATTTTCTCCGGGGAGCTTATGTTCCTGATCCTACAAATTCCATTATCGTGTATGGTCCTTCCCACTTTAGGTCAAGTGAACTAGTGCTCATTTCTATGTCTGCAACAGATACTTTCTTTAAGATTAAGTCCCATATTTTGAAGTTTTTTGTGCAAACCTTGGAATTGATATATCTTTTTATCCTTTTTTGTATACAACAAACTTGACTTGTGAGTCGTCTCGCTTTTCTTTCAAGAGGTCTAATTTTGTTTTCATGCCTTCTTCATTTTGTTCCTTTTTGCATTCTATTTTTCTTGTCGAACGACACCAATTTCAACTAGTACCATGGTTGCGAATTTCTCGTTCACTTGATTTACTACTAGTTATGAATTGCTTTTACTTCGATATTTTGAACTTGCATTTCTTTTGCCAATCATAGGCCCACCAATAAAACTTCATATTCAACCACATTGTTAGTTGCTTTAAATGCAAAACTTAATGCACAATTCAATTTTGCCTTCAACCGGTAGGAAGAGACAGAGAAAAGAAAGATAATCCTTCTTTGATTAGCCGCAGA